TTCGATATGCCTCCGAAAGATTCCTCTCCGTATTGCCTCATTCCATTGGTCAATTCACAAGAACTATTTTTAATTTGTAATTTATATATAAAAAAAATTTTTGTAATTTCTAAATCCAAAAGCCTTAATAAGAAGTAAATGACCAAATCAAATCAAATCAAATCGCATTTTCGAGAAGGAGCAGAATCTTCTTGATAACTTCGATATGTGCGCGTTCACATTCAAATTGGTCTCTTGCGCTTAGATTCCCTTAGTAAAAAAAAATGCCACCACCAAAACAAAATCTCTCACGGATGGGATCTCGGCGAATCGATTCAAACAATAATCTTCAAATGCTATCTAATTTTAAACTTCCCTCAACGGCAACGCTTGGATCACTGCCCTCACAATATCATCAGAATAATCGATATGCTGTTTGCGATACTGATTCACAGTGTAGTGATGGAATGAGCATTGCTAGCTCTGAGGAATCATCACCTGTTCCTACCCGACATTCATCACCTTCTAATAATGCAGCTGCAGCAGCCATGAGAAGTAAATATAATGCATCACCTTTGCATAGTAGAACAGGAGGAGGAGTATTGACCATGTCGATGAGTCCTTTGAATAATTTAAATAAGACTCCTCCACCTGGGATATTTATTGAGCAGAAATCATCAGCTGTCTTTTCAAAAACCAAGAACCTTAATACTAGTCCATCAAGCCCAAATACTTCTCCTCATAAGGATTTATCAAGTCCTTCCTTGTACTTTCAACGAAAACAATTATCACCCACACACCATCATCAGAGTCAGTATGTAAAGAAGGGATTGGAATTAGCCTCAGAGGTCTATCAAATAGCCCCAAAAAGAAACCGAAGTTCAAAAACCAGACTAGTCACCAGAAGAACCTCAATGCAAAGCAGCACCCTAACTACAAAGTGAGTGTCCATATGGAATGAGCTGAAGATATTGTTATTATTGTTGTGAAAAGTTCAAGAATGGGAACTATGAAAGAGCCCTATTAAGTAAATTGCGGAGCGATAGAGGAGAAGATATTCTTAATAGATCCTGATGAATAAGATTTTAAGGAAATGCTAGAAATTGAGATCCAACTGTGAAATTTTAGTTGGAATAATTAAACCTAAATTCATTGTTCCAGGCAATTATATTCGAATAAAATTTATGCGAATAAATTCATACTAAATAAATTCGCATGGTTTGGTAATGCGAAATTCATTCTTATGGTCATAACTTCCATAAATAAAGGATATGTTGAGAAAAGNGTGTTTATCATTCTCCTTTTCCAATATTTGAGGAACAACCAATAAGACCAAAACCATCGTTAAAAGTCATATTTTATATGGTGTTAAATATTAGACTCTTTCTTCCTGATTTCAATTCAGGGAGTGTCCAAAATTTGTACAACATTTCCAAACAATCATGAT